GGCCGTCGTTGAAGCACTCGCCCACCGTTTTAGAAACCGTACGGTTTTCACCGAATTCTACGGAGTGCTTACAGGAGCTCAACGATGCTAGGTCTCGGATTAAACTTGTAAAGGAAAAAGAGCACAAAGGTAGCCAACAAAATTACGGTTGTTTTAGTACATTTGTATAATACATTTATTGGTTAAAGACAAGACACTTTGACTTTCCTATATTATATAATAAAAACTCCGCTCCTTCAACAACAACGATACCCTTTGTTGTACTGCCTCTTTTGAATTATAGAAGATGTATATTTCTGCCTCTTTCATTTCTTGTTTCAGCCTTTTATAGTCCTCCACCGGCGGTCATACGATGGCTTAAGATGCCCTCACGAATGGCCCGATGTTGTTACGATCAGAGCCGAATTTGAACATTTCCTTGATCGTGTGTCCATCGGGTGTCAATTTCGGGACAGTGAGACAGGGGCTTAAGCAGGTCGTAAGAGAGTATTCGGTAAATGTGAAGGCAGATGCATGCAGGCGGGTTGCAATATTGATGGAAAGATCAAAGTGTCCATTACAGACTATAGCAGTTTATTGGAAACAGCGTGGAGCATGTAGAGCTCGATAACGCTGTGTTTCAGATACAGGTAAAGATAGTATTTGCTCGATTTAGACAGTATCGAGCTCATCTAGGGTTTGAATGTAAAGATTGTAATGTACACCCATGATACGCTTGCTTTTCTTCCTGTAAAACCCACAACTTTTGTCTTGTGCAAAACTTTTCTAATGTATCTTCAATCAACCTGAATTGTCTCTTGAGTGCAATGTTTGGAAATGTATTTTATTTTTGTAAGTTATTATTCAGAAGAGGAGAGAGAGAGAGAGTCAGAGAGGCACAAACCTGCTTTTCGCGAAAATGAGGGCTTGTTCGGTTTACAATGGCCTTATTTTGTGTAGGAGACATTGCTTCACTATTGTAGCACACAACTGAACGTTTTGACAAATGTATTTTGCTTGAAATATTCTACCGAAGTTATATATGTGTATATGTATAGTTTTATGAATGTATTTCTTAATCCTTACCCCAGAACTGAGTGTACTTTTTTGTCATCTTGTTTGCTATACTGCCTCTTTGAGGACTTTCCAGGGATCTCGCCTGCATTGTTTCAGGCTGCCCCTTCTACTGTATACTGTATGTCCTTTTCTTTGTGTGTTCACTTTAAAAGAAAAGCTCTGTGGTTGAAACAAGCATGAATTCTGCGTGGCGAAAACACACTTTTGATGTATTTAAAATGCCACGATGGGTTTAAAACGGAAAAGATTGCTATTCCCCTTGTAACTGAAACTCGATTTATCTATCAAGCTGATTGAGTTATCATGTCTGTACTTTGAACTTGAAAATGTTTGCCGCATGATTAACACTTTTCCTGTATTTAATCTTTATGATGGTCTGATTACGATGAGAATAACTATGATAATGATGACACATGTTGAGGAAGTCAATTAGACCGAATACGATTTTAATTCATTGAGATGCAAAAAGAAAAGGCTGTATCTTCAAGTAGCATGGTCTTAGCTTTCCACTTTCTGAAATACTTTTTGCAATAACCATTTGGCTGTAGCCTTTTTTCACTCATTAGAGTAAGGTTGTGGGAACCTCAGGCCAAATTTGTATCAGCTCACAACCATAACAAATATTATTTTTAAGTCAGATCACAATTTCAAGCACTAGAAGCAATGTAGACTCAGCAGAGCATGCATTGCATTGTGAATAACTTTCTGAAAGCCGCCATGAGCAAAAAATTCGTTTTTTTCTTTCCTTTCCTAACGAAGCATGCATTCCAAATATCTGTTTACAGATGTAGCAACGGTCAACGAGACATTACTGCTGAGCTGATGGGCACATGGGTTTGTCTTCATCCACGTCTATAAATGTTGTTGATCACAGCACAAGTCTCCTTAGTAGCCATCCTGTCCTTTTTTAGATGTTTGTCAAACTATATTAAGGCCACTGTAGCTTCCCTCGCCAGTATCAAGACAACCTTCATCTTAAAACCCAGCAAAGCACATTTTGAACTTCCAAAACGTAGGAAACAGCTTTGAAGAGTGTTGACTTTAATGGAGCCAAGCACATATAGTAAAAAGATGCCTAGGACACAAATCTGAAGCTGCAGGAAAACATTCAGCACAGTTCTAATGAGATTGCGGGTGATGCTGGATGATTGGTTGTCTTTTCTAAACAGGCCTTAACCTTTTCCCCGAGTACATTTTAAAGGTCAACGCATAGCTGGCCGTCTATTGAAAGGATGCTTATGATGAAGAGAAAGGGAGCTGTAATTTTATACCTGTGCTTTGTAAATGTTTTCTATGTGCAGTATTTGATAATGTAAAACTGGTATTTTTGTGGTTTGTACGCTGCAGAATTGATTACTTAAGGTGCACGTAGTTTTGTAAGAAAATAGAATCAAACGGAGAACACAAAAAAATTATTTCTGAATCAGAAGCCTGTATTTGCATGCCCTTTGACATCTGGAAGCAAGGTCAATAAAGTTTATTTGAATCACACATATTTGTCAGCTGTGTATTTTAAGATATTCTGATTAAATAATGTGTTAAATGTATTTTTTTATTAATCTGCCTCATTTCATACATTAACCTTAAAACAATTGGGTCAAACTGAACATCTTTGAAATATCAACAATATATACAATTTAATCAAAACAATATTTATTTTTGATATTTTCACAGAGACAAGGATCACATACTCTCAAATGAAAGTGACTATCAAATCAAAAAGGGGCAAAAGCATGTGGAACAAATGCAGAACTAATATACATCACATGTGTTACTTATTATACAGAGACATTCTGATAAAGAATAAACTATACAATATCTTGATTAACAAGTACATCAAAAGATGCATTCCTTTTATTTGCTTTTATTTCACAGAAAATATACCAGACAAAAGAAGGAACTGAAGCATACTAAGCCGGTAGCCCACAGGAATGTATTTTTTACTGCTTATTAAGAAACTTCTCTGACAGATATGCTGTAACATGGCAGATATTGCTCTGAGCAGAGAAAGTGACTGCTGCTCTCACACTGTTGCCTCAACTGCCACCAAATGAGATACAATTGAAAGAAACGCTCGGAGGGAATAGACAAAATTCTGAGTTTTTTTTAAAGGCTGTACTGCTTTTTTTAGTGGCAGCACTTAATTGTAATCTTGTTACACAAGAGTATATTCATTTAATTCTCTTTAAGCTCTCACATTAGAAGCATTTCTGTGCTTCTACATGACAAAACGGAAAGATATATTATTTACACTAATGGCTTCATGCAAGGGTTAGCATTATAAGAATGCACAAAACAGCAAGGACATAGAGATGGCTTGTGTAGAAGTGAGTGGTCGTATCACTTTTCGCTTCACACTCCCTCGAGTGACCTGATAATGTGTCAGCCTGGTCACAGTTGGATCCTAATCGGACGGCAGGACATTAAACCTTGGTTGGAATTCATCAATTCACCAAAAACAGACAGGACGCTGTTGACCACGGGACATTCAGAAGACACAAGTGTACATTGATTGACAGTAGAATATCAAAAACAAACACACGCCAGTATTACTGAGGTGTGTATTCAAAATGAGTCAAGTACATTGTGACACATTCAAGACGCGCAGTCGTTTAAACATTTTGTTGGTCTTGGTCGAAGCGGATCAACATGTAGAGAGAAACATTCAGAGAGACACATTCAGATATTTTGAAAAACATACAATCAGTTAGATAAACATTGTCCTCATGCAATTCAGTGGAAGAATCTGAAACATGATCTGTACCTTGGTCGTCTTTTGTCTCCGTCCTTCACCTCCTTCTCTCTATTTCTCTCTTATATAACAACAACTTTTGAGGCCTCTATTGTACAAGGTAGATTAACTTGAGGTGTGTGAGTGTTACTTCAACATGTACATGCATGCAAGTGACTTTAAGTGTCCCACCCTGTCTGAGGAAATAGCACAGTGAATTGATATGCCCAGATATGCATTGATTAAGAGCAGGTTTGACCAGACTGTTAAAGGATTGCTGACTTCAATGTTCTACTTATCACTAGCTATGTGGCTACAGATGTAACAAAGCATTGCAATACTGTACAACCATAATAAAGCTAGCGTTGATCTTTGGTCTCCCAAAATCCAGTTTAGGACTTCAGACAATGAAGTGGAGTTTCAGTATTCTCAAAGAAGCCCTCTGTAAATAGAGTAGAAGAGATCATCATAATGGCGTTTTGTAGCTGCTATAACTTGTGAGACAAAGGATCTAAAAACCTAAACGATTTCCCTAAATTTGATTATTTTAGAACGACTTGAGTGTTTAGGAAGGGGATACAATGTTTTTAGAAACCTTTAAAAAATGTATTTCTTCTTTCGCAAAGCTAATTCATTAATGTTTATTTACCCCTCCATGTGCAGCTTGAGGGGTGATCAAATAATAGATTAGTGTAGCCTAGCCTAGCTTGAATATTTTCTAGTAAGAATATTAATCTAGTTTTAATCCCTTTGTTACCTTACTTTGAAAATCTTTACCCCTGTGCGCTTGGAAATGGTTGCGGCTAAAGTTAAGCTAATTGTTGGATTCTGATGTGAATTACTTGTCATTTGTTAATACAACGTTAACACAATAGTTTGACATTTTGGTTTGACATTACCTGAATGCTTATCCTTGCCAAAATGTAGCTTAGAAAATCAATACCATGGTATTTATGAAGCTAACCACAGCAGTCAATTAGCTTAACACCAAGACCGGAAATGTGGCTATTCTCTGTCTATTAAAAGGTAGAACAATCTGCCTGACAGTACATATAAAGCTCACTGTTAAACGCATTATATCTCATTTAATTAATGCTTACAAAGTCAAAGTCTTTAGATAAAGCCATGCTTGTTGTTTCCCCTGTCTCTAGTCTTTAGGCTAAGCTAAAACAAGCTAACCAGCTGCTGGGGGTAGCTTCATATTCGTCTCACTCACAGCAAAAAGAGGCTATTAGGCTCATTCCCATGAAAGCAAACTATTTACCAAATGAAACCAAAGATTAGCCTTCACTTTTAGTCTTGAAATAATGTATGTCTCCATCCTTTAAGGGAAATGTGTCTTCTTACAAAATAACCTCAATATTCAAGCACATCAACCAATGGATTTAAGCTAGGTAAGTTTTGCATTTTCTTCTGATTATGATCAATTGTAAAATAAATAAAATCTGTTCTTTTAAGTTGTGCAGTTGGTTAACACCCACACAAAGCTGATTTGTACAACGCTGGCACATAGCCTACAGGCTACAAAAAACGATGTGTAGTCCTAATCAGTTAACCTTGAAACCTGTTGTCTTGGACATCATGCCAAAGTGTTCTGAAGGCAAGAATGGGAATATGCAAAACATGGCCATGGATGGAAGAGAGAATAGGAAGCCTGGGCAGAGAGGAGAGAGAAAGAGGTAGTTGTGGTTTTCGAAACCTTCAGCAATTTCACACCTTTCTCCTTCTTCTCCTCCTACTCCTCCTTCATCTTCTTCCCCCTTTCATTCGAAAATGTCTCCTGGAGAGTGATTAAAAGGTTCGTACAACTCAGTCCCCCTCTTTTCCCAGGGTTATTGGCGTGACATCACATATTTGATAGATGAGATCATTTCCAAACATGCGCCGTCATGTGCGCTGAGCTTTGAGCTGTCGAGCCCCCCATTTGTTGACTGCTGTATCCTATCATTCCACTGGTGTTGCTGACATTCACACCGGCCATATGATGATTCATCTATAAACCACAAAACACATTTTGTTATCAACAGAACATTTTTCTACCTTGAAATTCATTTAGTACAAAACAAATACACACACACCTGGGTAATGTTCCACTGTAGCTGCTGAGTTTGTTGCCCTCCGTACACCTGCTGTTGAGGTAAACCTCCAACCTGCTGCTGTCCCATCAGCCCATTCTGTTGATGTCCCATCATCCCATTTCTGTTGATGTCCCATCATCCCATTTGGCTGCTGCTGTCCCATCAGCCCATTCTGTTGATGTCCCATCAGCCCATTTTGCTGCTGCTGTCCCATCTTCCCATTCTGCTGCTGCTGTCCCATCAGCCCATTTTGCTGCTGCTGTCCCATCGTCCCATTCTGCTGCTGCTGTCCGATCATCCCATTCTGTTGATGTCCCATCAGCCCATTTTGCTGCTGCTGTCCCATCGTCCCATTCTGCTGCTGCTGTCCCATCATCCCATTCTGTTGATGTCCCATCATCCCGTTCTGCTGCTGTATCATCATTGCGCTTTGCTGTCCCATCATGCCCTGGGTCATCCCCGTCATATAAGGTGCGCCACTAGGCTGTGCCATGACACCCTGAGCACCCATTGGGCCATTCGGCTGTCCCATCATGGCCATCTGTGATGTCATCATGTGGCCTCCCATTCCACCTGCCTGGGCTAAAGAATGGTACGATCCATATGGATGTGTCGGGTATCCCATTTGGTTCATGTACAAGCCTGCTGGCAGTTATCACAGTGAGAAAGCGGCCATGTTAGCATTGGCAAGCACTCTGTAATCGGAATTCTCTAATCCTTTTGATATCAAATTAACACTAAGGAGACATCAACACCTAAGAGAAAGTTTTCCAGTTCTTACCATGAGCAGACATACTGGCGTGTACTGATGGGGCGGAGGCGTACAGGGAGAGAATCGAGTCCTTGGACAGTTTCTTGACAGCGCCCCCCTCTGCTTTTTGTGTCCGATCCAGGAACAGACTGAGGTTTTCAGGCACAGAGGCAGTCACTCTACTCTGGGGCATGGAGCTGGAAACAGGCTGGAGAGGACAGGGGTGGCGTGAATAGAGAGACAGAGAGGATACATGTATCATCAACAGTACAAGGGTGCAATAACCACGGTGTTTGAGTGAAAATATTATCTCGCAAACCACTCAAACTGAGAACATGTCTAGTCTAGAAAGTGTGCCTTTCTATTGTAACCTTTTACAAAAAAGAAATGCCACCAAAGAAGCTTAGGAATTAGAAAAGGGTTAAGACTGTTTCCTCCAAAAATAAGCAAGTCCGCCTCATACAGTAGCTTGCAGGGACATCTATGTATGTATGTATGTATATTTATAACCTAAATGTTAAAGAAGTGTAATTTCTCTCTGTCATGGAGTGGGAGGGTGCAATGACAAGATTGAAATTAGGCCTAAAAGTCAATATTCACGCTCTATAAGGCCAAAGCTCACAACGGAAATGCTAACATCAATGTCTAGCAGCTATGTTCACTTAGTTCAGCATGCTTTTGGGACCATGAATATACTGTACAAAATGTTATGGTCATCCATCCAAGAGTAATGGACATGTTTCAGTATGGACCAATTGCCATCCCTAGAGGCCCGCTGATAGCAGAAACATTAGGGATTCTGTGAATAGCCCCCTGTGCTGTATTTGCAGTGTGTTACCGTGTTTCTTTTAGAGGAAGCAGTGGCCGGTGCTGGCAGGGAGCTGAAGAGATCCAGAGCAGAGTGTGCCAGAGCCGGATTGGAAACCGCTGGCCTCCCATTACTGTCTGAAACACATCCTCCTCTGTTAGACACTGCAGGACTTGGAGCAGGGGCATCTAAGAAAGGGTAGATGGTAGATAGTCTGATTATAAGAGATTAACATCTATTTCTATCTCTTTCTCTTTCTGTAAATGGGTGTTAGTGTGTGCATATGTTTGAGCTGCATTACCTAATCCAAGCAGGTCTGTGACAGCCTGGGTATTTGTCTTGGGGCTGACGTCTTTTTTCTGTCACAACAGAGAAAGCCGATGCAAGTAATGCAATATGTCTGCATGGAAAAAATGAGCTTGAATCAAGAGTCCTTGGTGGTGAAATGACCTTCCTGCTATCGTCTGACCAGCAAAGTTACTCCCAATCTCCCTCTACTGGCTGAAGATTGTTATCCTCATGATGTACTTCCTGTCGTGTCACCTTCTCCTAACACACTAACATGCTCTTTACTTTTTCTTTAGCACCTAATCTCCCTCTAGCACTCTATACCTCAATTGAATACTAAGAGCATCAGCTTAAAGGTAGGGTAGGTGAGAATGGAGAAACCAGCTCGAGTAAGCTAGCATTTGAAAGTACACAACCCTTCCTTAAGACTTCCTTACAGAGCCCCTCCTCCAACACACACGAACGCGCACATGACCAATGAGGGCACGAGATAAGTTTGTGCACAGATGGAAGGCTGACAGGCAGGTAGGCCGTCCAGTTATCTTCCGCGGGCCGAGGCAAATATTTGGACTTGATTTTTACAGCGCCACGGCTTCCACAGATGAAATATTTGTATATATTTATTGTCAAAGCATTTCATTTATTCGTTGCTATCGGGAATATAACAAAGTGTTTCTGAAGTGAATTACCTACTCTACCTTTCATGTTACAAATCTAACAACATAGGGACAACATCAGTTCTCTATCAATGCTGCACTCACCAATTTCATCTTCTCAAACACAACTGGTTCCTTGGGTATATTGTCGCAGCTCTTTTCTTTCTGTACACAGAAACAAATGGTTTTGTTTAGCAAACAGACACTAAAGATGAAATGGCCTTGCTCAAGAGGGGGTAGATGATGAGGGAAGAGACAAAAGAAGGTATGCAATTCAGGCCTTTTGTAATGATCCTGTCGAAGGCACAGAGCCTTGTTTTGTGTGTGTGTGTTAGAACTCACCCTAAGCATCTGGATGTCAATGACTTTATCGATGTACTTCTTCTTTTCATACTTGTCTCTAATAAACATCTCTGCTAAATGGTCTGTCTCAGGGCGCTGGAAGCACTCAGGTAAGAAAGCCTCATAGAGACGTCTGGCTTTGGCATTTCCCATCTCCTGAACACACTGATGACACCAAATCACAGAAAACATGTTAACATTGTTAATCTCTCTCTGATATAGGTAGAGTCCAGTGTATCAAACGAAGGGAGTTCATATTGTGGATCATGAGAAAAGAGACAAAAGATTGCTGACTATAGAAAAACGTCCACAAAAGGGAGATTAATGCTGACTGTCTGGCCCATCAGACCCAGGCAAGATGAGCTGCATACTGATGAGAACGTGTCTACTTCCTCTCCTGTATGTGAGCATGCAACATTTAAAAAGCCCCGACAGACACAGCTAAAGCCACCAGAAATGTTTGGTTATTCTGTCGAAAAGAGGAATATACGAATCTCAATATGAATAAAATAACCAAATGGGGGGGGGCAACAGCGGTAATTAAAGTTTAAAACTCTCAAAAATGCAACAACTACTGTCCCAAACTGGATGAATGTGAAGTATTTTGTTAAAGGAGGATGAAAGTGTAATTAAGGAGCACTATTGGAGTGACTTTGATGGTCATTGGACTCAGGATTCATTCATTTGGATTCCCGCTGAATGAAGAAATTAAAGGACGCCGCAAGTGGAAACAATTCAGAAAGGGATTAAACTGTTTAAAACACATGCTCAAAGTAAGCCGGACTTTGCCGATGTGTTTATGTGGATTCAAAAGTCGTAAATAATCTACAAAATGGAGGAGACCGATCTGATCGGAGCAACTGTGACAAATAATCCAACTGAAACCGGCATGGACAATGACTATGTTTTAAAAATGCGCATATCCAGAAAAGCCTGGTTTGGACACTTTACGGGCAGAAGAAACATTTCTATTAAAGAAAGAATTATAGAATTACAAATGTCTGTCTTTTTATGCCTTTAATAGCTACTAACTTGAATTTGTATTCATATTAATTAATCAATAATTGTTTATATTTTATTGTAATGTAGAGACAAGGCTTTTAGTGACAATCATTTATTGCATTACTATTATATGTAAAAAAGAAAAAAAAAAAAAAAAAGTCTAAATATGAGATTTGGCATCAAATCATCTGAGGCCCCCCTGCGCCCCCCAGGTTGGGAACCACTGGTCTAAAGCATTTGTTTTTATTGTACCTCATCCATAAGTAAAAGCACGTACAATGTCTATCCAAAGCGGATGTAGAGGGTGTCGTTTTTCTCATACTGATATTCTGAACAATCTGTGCTGTTGTCTGTAAAGTGTCTCTACTGTAGGCTATTTTTATTATATGTACAGCACTTTGGCTCGGCCAAAAATCATTTATAAATGTGCTATATAAATAAAACTTGATTTGATTTGAAAACTGGTATATGCTGTGGTCTTATGTTTAACCTGTAATGTCCCTTACTAAATAAATATGTACATGTATCAATCCATTAACGATTGACACATCCCTGATTTATCCACCTTTTCTACAAGAGCACACTACTTTCAAACCCACGTATCGGTGACGCTATCATTGTGGGATGTAATCAATACATGTGAAATAAGCTTATATTTGTCTTTAAAGTTCTGCTTACCAGCGCCTCTAAAGCTATCCAATTAACACATTATATCCTATTTACTTGAAGCATCTATAATTGTAACGTAAAGGCTTACATTAAAGGTAAGGTAAAGTAAGGTACGTTTATTTATATAGCACATTTTCAGACACAGAGGCAATTCAAAGTGCTTCATCATTAACACTTAATAAGAAGACAACAGAAAGGAATACAATAACAGATTCATAAAAACCATGCATAAAAGAGATGCAGAATAGTTTAAAAACAACATTTTAAATACGGTAGGTGCTAAAACCAGTTCTGGGTAAGCAGCTGAAAAAAGTCATGTTTGGTGAAGAACTCAGGTTGTTCAGGAAGTTTGTTCCATTAAAAGGTAGATGAATGTCTTATGTGTCTCATACAGATGCTTATGGATGCCTTTGTTTGTCAGTATGAAACATTCTGGGGCGTGGAAATGTGTTTGTATTTGTCAGACATTAACATATCTTCTCTATTTATTCGTATCTGTAGTGTGACCTCTGACCTGGACCTGCTCCTGTGTCCACTGGTCCAGATTGACCGACTTGACCTTGGAGATGTGGACCCCCAGGTTTCGATGGATACCAGCACAGCGGATACAGATGAAGATGCCCAAATTCCAGGATGACCATCTTGGACCTGGCAGAGAGAGTGAGGTAATGTTTAATATTTAGAGAAAACAGTCTTTAGAGGAGGCTGATAACGTAGTTGGGCGGCAGCACAAGAACTAACAAGAGAGATGAAGATGTAGAATGAGTCTAGAAGTACAACAGACAGCTAGAGTAAGCAGGCGAGAGGATTGGATGCAGGATGATGAGAAACACTCTGATTAATTTAAGTCCAATTATAGAGAGACAAGCCGGAAATTCAATAATTAGTTTGAATTCAGCTGGGAATCGGCTAATCCAGTGTAAGTCATGCAGTGGCACATAATGCGATCCAATAAGAGAGTTAGCCTACATAACTGAGACTGAGTAGAACGTAACAGAAACACACACACACACACAGAAACACACACACACACACACACACACACACACACACACACACACACACACACACACACACACTAGATACCTGCAGGGATGATTACTCATATGGTCATGAGCCTGTGTATGTGGGTGTGTGTAATCTAAGTGGGCCATTTTGTCTATATTGCTGCCATTTCTGTCTTAACGGTTACATTTTAGTGCCCCCATGTTTTTATAGGTTTCAAATATATCTTATGTTTCCAGACCACTCCGAGAGGGGGGGAAATACAAAGAACACCGTCAGGCTATTTTCCTGCTGAAATTATGCAACCGTCCTCTTCAGAGAATACAGTCAGCTTCAAAGAGAGTACTGCTGCTTCTCTCCCCGTCTCTCCTTACATCTCACTCTCCTCTTGCCCCTCCTCCTCTTCTCTTTCCTCCATCTCTTCCTGCTCCCCCTCCCTGGATGAACCCAGCCACCCTCTGCCTCATCTCTGTTATGAGTCCTTGCTTGCAACCTTGCTACAAGTTGGTGCACTGTGGCCTTTACACCACTAGATGGAAGAGCAGCTTGCAAGTTGGATTACTCATTGGCCTCTCCTGTCCGTCAAAGTCACCGTGCAGTGTTACGGAAAGGCCAGTATATGCAAATGAAAGAGGAAGTTTTCAGAAGAGAAAACATGCAAAACCTTCCTCTTAAAGACAGCTGCAGTGCAGGTGCAAGTGAGTCAAATCATAGCTCCTTGTCTTGGCTGCATCCTGCACTTTAAAGGCTAAAAGGGTTATTCTGTTTGAAGCATTAGAAGGCTACCATAGGACGTGTTCTGCATGTTTAAGTGTTTCTGGTTTGCAGAGCTTGCAGGCTACATTTTCTTTTAAATGAGTTAAAGGGAACACATCAAGGGACAATAATGCAAACACCAGTACAGAAAGCAAGCAATAACAGAGGGTCAGCAGACAGACAGAGGATGTCCATCAGCCTGAGCGTCTGGCTGCAGCATTAGCTCTGACGGCGGCTAATCACAGTAGCATTACTCTGCTCAGCCGCTGTCAACACATGTCGACAGAGAGAAAGAGTGAGATTTGCAATTGTGTTAAACTCCCTGTTGTGCTGGAATGACTTTGTCTTTATTCTAATGCTCCGCTGTGTCCTGGCCGCCATTTCTTATCTGTCTCATTCACAAACGCTGCCTCCCTCCTCCTCTCCCCTGCCTGTCCATATCTCTCGCTCACAGTCCAAATTCTCACTTTCTCCGACTTTCCCCGACTTTCCCCGACTTTCCCCACCCTCACTTTCTGGGGTTTGGACTGATTGCTGCCAATGTTTTTTGTTGCATTTTGTACTAGCTTTTTTTTTTTAAATCTCTTTTTAGCCAGGCAAGTGGCATGGCTCTAATGTTGGCAAAGTTGGTCTAGTGCTTTTGTCCAGACTGAAGTATCTCAACAGCTATTGGATTTGGTTCAAATATCCATGGTGCCCAGAGGATGAATGCTATTGACTTGGATCACCCCCTTCCTTATCCTCAAGCACCATGAGTTGACATTTTGGGCTAATAGTGAAATAGCTTGACAACTATTTGATGAACTGCCCTTAAATCTTGGCGAATATGTTCATAGTTTGTAGACGGTGCATCCTAGGGAATTTTTTGTTTCTCTATTGCCACCATGAGATTGGCTCTCAAGTCCCATAAACAAATGCTAATCTGACATGAAATTACACATGGTCATATATTTGACTTTCCGAAACCTTGTGTGTCCATGTGTCCAGTGGTGTAAGCATCAATGTAATCTGCTAACAGGGTATTATGGATGTTTGGAGTCCTGGTGCTCAGGTGTGCACATGAGTGTGGTGACAAGGAACAGGGAGCAAGAGAGAGTTGAAGGCTAGTTTTTTTTAAAAGGGAAACACACCTGCACACTGCACCATAGTTCCCTCTTTGGTTCTAATCAATGCAGTGCCTGAGTAAGAACCCATATACAGCATATGTCCAGCATCAATGCACACCTACATTTACTTTGAACAGATATAGAGAGAGTAGGAGGAATAGACTTCTAAAAAAAGGAAGGACAGATTGGATAAACAGTATGTACAAATCAGATTTTCTGTTACCATGTTGCAATGCACATTCCTCCACAGTTGAGTAAAAGCTGTGAGTAAACTTCCTCTCTTCTTTTGTAATCAAAAGAACACATGCCAACAAACACCTTCTTTTGAGGTATAATTAAACACTTCAGGTTTGACTTCTCCATCTTTCCACGGTTGTTATAGGGCAAACTCCAAAAAGTAGAGGGTTTGAATAGCACATTGATGAATCATCCTGGCGAGTGTGGTTGTGGTTGTCAAACATGCAGCTTGAAGCACATCAGGGGAGGAGAAGGCAGAGGAGCCAAAAAGAGAGACAAACAAGAGAGGATTTTTATAGTCATCAAATGGTGGACGTTAGCTGTTTGATGGCCTGCTGGGACGAGCAGCGAGTGAGAGCAAACTGAGATCTATAATGAGCCTCTCTGTCACTCACCCACACACATTTATCTGTATTTGTAACACTTGTGAGGAACTTTACTCACTACATCCATTTTGTATATAACCCTCCATTAAATCTTTATGGCCAGTGTAATTTACATTTTTATTGATATTGCAATTTGTTTCCATTTAGTTCATCACCATTAACCCTTGAATATATAACTATAACTTGTGTAATCCACCATGGTAAATGTTAAATCTGCATACTTTTTGGTCGATGTAAAACTGGAAATAGGAACAGTGAACTTAAATACTTCATAATGACAATGTCACCTTGTCCAAAAAATAAAACAGACTAACTGTTCACACTGAACTGAATTATACAACTAAAGCAAATTGCAACAGCCTGATAATATATTTGACCATTTTTGATTATACACGGACATAAATGACCTAAACCGGGAAGCATTCATCTAATTACGAAAATGCACACACACACACACACACACACACACACACACACACACACACACACACACACACACACACACACACACACACACACACACACACACTATATCGTGTGCATGCAGTGTCAGTGTGTGGCTCTTTTCGGCATTGTTGGCATTTTAAGTAATCCCACCTTTCTTTATTCCCACTCACGCTTTTAATTCTCTCCACTGAAGCTATTCATTCTTTCCATCCCCATCACGTTTCTCATTGTAATCCTCTTCCCTGTGACTCAATCTGCACATGCCTTTAAATGTCCGGAAAAGCAACAAAAGTTCCAACAGTTCAATTCAGAGTTGTACATACTATTATTGGAGAGAAGCTGCTAAATTTGTCAAACAGCAATTTGGTAATCTGCCTATCATCCCTACCCAGGACCACATGGAAATAACTTGCCTGTCATTATTGTGTATTAAGTGACAATTTTGTTGTTGGATGTAAATAAGACAATCCTACAACCTTTTACACATATAATTAGCATGAGCTCTCTGACAATTATGATGACACATAGGACTGCAAACGTCACACAGTAACATACGTATTCATGCACATAGCCATTGACATCCACACACACACAAGCAGGTGCATATGGCTCATTAGCCTATATCCCACATGGATAGCAGCCTCTCTGCTGCATCTAGTTAAATTCCACAGAGCCTCAGTCATCGGCGAATCCTACGCCCTCCTACACCAGCACACAAACACACACACTCATCTTAACACACACAATTGTCCCATGCTCAAGCCCTTCAGCATCTAAAACAATCCAGAAACCCTGAGGCCAAACAGTGACCCAGAGCCACTCAGAGCTACGCAGATGGACCCTATTGATAATTTACTAATACACACCCACCATCTGTGTTACAATGGCAGTGTCATGACTGTGATCCTGCAGGTGAGTCACTGAGGTTTGAATTGCTCATACATGAAAAGATGAGTAAAACACGCCGTCACTGTAAGCTTTAAATCACATTTTTATACATGATTTTAGGCTTCGTTTAATCCGTTTACTGACATTATTGTTATTTTAATCTCTGTAGATATTTTATTGCTTGGTTAAAGACAGAGCATTCTTGTATTGAATATACATTTTGAACAACTCTCAGAAAACTTTGTAATTCAAATGTTTTATTATAACTATCCTTTACTTTGATCTATAAACATTAAAGATTAAATAATTCAATGCCCAACTTCAACTAAAACACTGCCCACAGTATACACTTTAACAAACTCTGTTTTTCACTTTACTGCTACTGACACCAAAAGGGAACAATATAATAATAGGTGTATTGTTGTTGTTTACATTTCACTGTAAGACAACCCTTAATGTGAGATTGAACGAGGTACTTATCATTTGCAATATATTCAATTGCATTCGACATTGGGCCATTAAAACAATGTAGTGATGTCGACGGTGGAAGCAGCAAATTGTGTTTTGAAAAGGCCCACCAACAAGAAAAAACAATACGACTTTTAGTGTATGGTATAATTACCATAATTAGAACATCTTCACTGCTTTACTCAGCTCTCAGACATGATTTTCTGACAGGGAAATGAAGCTGTTAGCCATGCTCTTATCAAACCCACCAGACACCATTGACAAAAACAGTTATGTAACCTCTCTGAACACGATAGAGGTTACTAACGCCTGACCGGTAAGTTTGTGGCTATTGTTGGACTTGGTTTGGATTCACAAACGTATCTTCTTCACTCTGCCTACTATACGGTATACGGATACAACCCCATTTCAATACTATCCAAACTATTCTTCTTCTTACTATATTACCATGTCTTCAGTCTCAGTTTTATAGAGGGGCTCTGTTTCAAAATGTAATTTAACGACTTTAGGTTTAAACTATGATTAAATCAAAATATCCTAAAGTTAGGACCATGTTATAATTCAGAAATAATGTCCAAACTGCACACAGAGTTGAGGATTGAGGGAAATATAGTAATATACAGTATACAGTACACACAGTAATATATTGTACAGTACACGCTGTCCTTGGTACTCTGAGTCTGAACTGTATGCCAGCCAGGGCACACAAACAGCCAATCACCTGATTGTTACAAGGTAAATCCCTGCTGGCCTCTGATTGGATGAGCTTAAAGGGTGAAAGGGGGGCGGGGCCTAAGTGTTCGTGGAGGGATAAAGCTTGACATCACCAGGTGATATCTCCACGGCAACCAGGGCCCGGTATGTACGTAAACACAAGTACAATGGGGACATCAATGGAGGGAGGCTTTACACACACACACACACACACACACACACACACACACACACACACACACACACACACACACACACACACACACACACACACACACACACACACACACACACACACACACACACACACACACACACACACACACACACACACACACACACACCACAGCCTCTTGAGATGGAAGCCAGAGGTTGAAGTGTTGGCTACATTATGCCCCTGCCTCACCCTCTCTCTCCCTTCTTTTCATTATTTCCTGGCAGTTTTGAGTATGTACAATGAAGTGTCACATTCTGAGGAAGTAATAAAAAAACAAATAATACAGTACGTCATGCGATATAGGAGAAATTAGAGACGGGAAGTTGTGCAGACCTGGCAGTAAGCGACAGTCAAAAGGCAGAGACATGGTTTAATTGCTGCAGTCTGTATAGTAAGCATAGACAGTGAGGATCTAATAGCATTGCTAATGTGTTTTTGTGTGTTTTCATGCACTGGTGTAAGCACACACTTGGCTCCACACATCTCACCACTTCCTCTTGAATCACAGCGAGGGAGGAGGGTGATAAACTCACGGAGATCTATGTCAAAGCAAACAAGATTAGACTGAACCTCATCACAGGCCATATGGTCAAAGCCTTTGGAGAAGGAAAGGAGGGGACAACCGATTTAAGGGTGTGTGCACTATGTGTGCACACGTGTGTAGTTTAGTGAGAGTGTGTGCTAATCAGGTATGAGATGAAACACATCTCTTCAAGCATTAACCCACATTAAAGTGCCAGCTCATTAGCAGAGTTACATGAAAAAAAGATGGGAAGTGAGAGTGATGTGTGACCTTATCAATTGTAGTATGGAGCCACATGTTATGAAATGGTTAAATAATAAATGCAGAACAGGCTTCTGCTATACCCGACAGCAAATTTGCTTCAGATTATAGTGAAAGGTCCCTGAACGTTCAAAATATATGTTTTCTTCAAGATAAAGCTAAAAATAAAGCTGTGTGTTTGTGTGTGTGTGTGCGTCTGTGTGTGGCTATTTTCTCCACTAACTCCTAATCTCATCTGCATTTGGACCAGTCTGCTGCACTTTAAGGTCAAGCCAATCAAAGAAGCGATGCACAGGCATGCCTGATAAACGCCATTTGACTATTTGAATACATCAATGACAGCAATCCAACTGAAAGATTTTAAATGTCTGTTTTTTTACATGTCCCTGATTTGGTCCAGAAAGGTCCACCACTGCACAAAATCAGAAATAATGCCTCATCATCTGTGTTCCTCTGCTTTTGTCGATGTTTTAGAGCAGTCACATTTTTACAGAAGCTGCAAGAGTCTGATCACAGCGTGCTTTTTAAAAATTGACTTCTGAACAGTCACAAGTCTCTTCGCCTGAAGTCTTACAGCTCCTGAAATCCTATTTATATCAAATTAAAAATACCATCCACAGGCCATATACTCTGGAACAAAACCTTGTTTTGTAAAACCAAGCATTCACTGTGTCCTGCTGGCGAAAGCAGTTTAAACCCAACCAAGACCTTGAAATCACATGTCAACTCAAAAGATAACTGTAAATATGCCACTAGATATGTGCAAGTGTGTGGAAGTAAGGTTTAGGTAAAACATGGAGAATCAATCTTTAAAAAGGGTATATGTAAGAAGGTATTGCTTTTACAATTGTCACAGATTAATTAAGTTATTGACTTTCAAAATACTTTTTTAATTGAGGCTATTTGTAGGCTAAGGCAGTAAATTGTGCCAGTGAAATGATGTTGTTCTAGTTTACGTAAGAAAGCAAGTCCAGAGAGAAAACCACCTGATTTGATTTTTTAATAAAACATTTGTGCTGCGAGCATCATCACCCTGGATAATTTCCTAAAAGACAAACAGACTTAGTATTGGGAAGGAAAAGGGAGGCAGACAAAGGCAAAGAGATTTAATCAAAGATGCAGAACAAACACACAGGTAGTCATGGCCCAATAACAATCACAATCTGAGTTAGCACCGAGGCTAAGGTCAGCTAAGTTACTGGATGTCAAAAGGTCTGTCCGTCTGTCCTTATGTGCACCAAACATAAGAAATGTTTCCCCCTAGGAGCAGCCATGCTGCACAAAACAGCTACTATAGCTTATAGATTTTTCCTCTGAGGGTGCTTTGTACACATCAGATTGCTTTGTACACATCAGATTGTGGTTGTTTGCCTCTCCATTTGTCTGTTTGTCTACCTCTGTCTGTGAAGCAAACAAGCTCAGATCCAAACCTGAATGCGGCACTACAGAATACAACATAATCCTTGTAGAATACGGAAAGCAGCTTACTCATATAATTCATAACATTTTCATGAGGAATCCCAAGGGTGTCCCCGGTGTGATAGCCTGCAGTGATTTACGTACATTAAGCCTTCACTCAAGCATTTATGACTGAGGCGGGAGCAGTTTCAGTCGTGTGGAAGTGGAAATGTGACATGTAGCTTCCCTGTTCAATCATTTCTCTGACATGGTATGGACAGGTCAGTCTTATCAATCTAAACAGCAGCAGCTTAACTGAGTTGAATCAAAACCAGTTTGGAATACTAGAGGTTTTCTTTAAAAGTTTTGACATAAGTTGTTTACGTACACCTGAGTGTGGTTTTGTGTGCATTTATCTGCCAATGTACCTCTAGTGGCATTTTGCATTCACAGATATCATCAATTCATAACAACTTATTGACAGTTTATCCTAAAACAAAATTAAGGTAAGTAGTGTGGGACTCTCAAACTCAGTGTATTTGTGAACAAAACATCAGTGTTTATTGACCAGCATGGCCAAACAGGTGATGACATGGTTCATGAGGCTACATAGACTGAAAGTTGCACAAACACTGGTTGTGATCGAGTTAAACAACTATACTAATCCTATAATACATGTTAGAATGATTCAAGGATACTATATACCAACAATCTCCCAAAAAGTAAAACATGAAAGACAATATGAAGCACTGTAGCACTAATTGCTCAAATTACTTTACAATAACATTATAGTAATAAGTGAGGATGACACGCTTATAATCCCTCCACATTAATATTGTCCCTGTGCCCTGTCTGCCCTCAGATGGCAGGAACAGTCTGTTCAGGGTGACTCAAAGTCAGTACTGATGCCTCTATCTGTGTTTCCATCCCTTCTACCCCTGTGGTTTCCATACTGGAGTTCAGGGAGCCTCAGGTGTTTTGCAGAGGTCCCATTCGTTAGACTGATTTTTACACATGATCTCATTTACTCGTTCCTTCCTGTATTAAAGTTCCTTAATTCTCATCATTAACAAAAATCTTATTATATGAAAGGTATTCCACATTAAATATGCATATATAATAACGACTTGGTGATAGTAGATACACTTTGAGCTCCAGCCTTGTGAGGATGTGCTGCCGTGTCTTGCAGCATAGTACAAGGTAATTGGTCGAGGAAGGATGAATGCACCGCCGCATTTTCTAGCGTAGTAAAGGAGCAAGAGGGGCGATCTATGCCCTGGCTATCTACCGGCATGGACTGGGAAACATCGGCAATCACTTACCTTTTGATTCGCAGTCAGCGCAGAATTTATTATCTTCCAGAGCCAGTAAAGAGTTGAGGACAGCCTGGTATCTGTCAACGTCTTTCACAGATCTGCCCGTCATCATTGCACTGGTCCTCCTCCTCCACAGCCCCTGCGGTCCGAGCCGGCTTTTGTCAAATAGATTATTATTTGATCAATTAAAGCAGTGTGTGTAAGAGCCGATGCACTCCCTTCCTCCTACTCCTCCTCCTCCTCTTCCGCGGAAAGCAGGGCGAGTTTGTTTCACAAGATGGGATGATTGTCTCTCAGCCAACCGGCATGCGGGTTATGCAAATTGGCTACTAATACCGATCAATACGTAACCTGGAGAAAACAACTTCTGATTGCCAAGCCGTAAAATGTAATGCAAGGTCGACTTTAAACCGCATCTGTAACCCAACACTGACACTGACTCTCTTCCAGCTCTCAGAGCGTCCTCTCTCTCGCTCTCTCGCAACTCTCTCTCTCTCTCTCGCAACTCTCTCTCTCTCACACACACACACACACACACACACACACACACACACACACACACACACACACACACACCATTAATGTATATGAATAGTCACTACTTTATGTTTTGCATACTATGCTTTAATGTATTTCAAAGCTGTATTTTCGCTTTATCAAGAAAATACCAGGCCGTTTGGTTTATCTTACTGATTATGTTACATATACTGCCATCCTGTGGTCAACTATAAGAATAGTGCCTCTTTTCCCCTCCAAGACGCAGGACGGCGATGAACACCCTGCAAACAGCCGAGGAAATGTTTGGTGAGACAGCTGACATAAAAACTAAGTTTGTAAAGCTACTAAAGCATTACCGAAAGTACATTCATTGAGACTTCATAATAAAGTTACCAATGTGACAAAGGAAGCAAAACAAGTGACCTTTATAGCTATATGTAAGGAAATTGAACCAACAACTGTTGTTTGTATTGAATGGAATTCGTTCCCCACTTCATATCCGTGCTTTGTATCACTCATGATATCTAAATAAATCCTTTAGTCTGAAGTATGACCGGAAGTTGTGGATTAATCCAGCTAGCTTGATACTTCTGGTTTTGCGTCTACTTTGGTGATTACGGAAATAACTGCTACGCCAGAATCAAATAAATAAAGGATTACATTCGAGTCGCTATCTGTGTAAGCCTGTATCACTGTCCACAATGTCCCGGCAATCCAACCGAACAACAGACAGCAAGAAGATGGTAGGCGACTTCCGCAGATTCAACGTCAACCAAACCTAGCTAACCTAGCAAGCAAAATGCTAACCGTAGCCTTGTAGCTAACACACCAACTGTCCATTCTCTGCAAACTCTGCGAACAAAATAACCTGTCAGTCATGTGTATTTGTTTGACAGATGTTTCTATATATTTAAAGCTTTTGAAACTGGTGAATGAGTACTTCATTCATTGTTAAGTACTGCTAACTTTGACAGGAAGTGTTACGTTAGTTCGTTGTAGCACGAGCTAAATAGTATCCCTAAAGTTAGCTTTTCATGCTCCCTTTGCAGCCATTGTAATATTTACAATAACTTTCCAAATGAAAAAACGTATACCTTATTAACAAAACCTTATATATATTTCTGTTTTCATGTTCAGCTCAGTCAATTCAGTTGTATTTGCGCTGTTAAAAGGGTTGACATTAACGTCTTATAGCTGCAGTGTAGACGGAAGTGTGTGAAGAGTCGACTAAACATATGTATATACGTCATGTTTATTATTCAAAGTGTACAATTATGATTAATTAATCAATTGTTTTATTATGCAATCACACGTCATTTCAGTACCAGACGCTTTCCCCAGTATTATCTGTTACAGACATGGTGCAGAAAGTAGCCCTGTATTTGAATGCATCTCTACACATTAGAGGAATTTATTTCTATTTGACTAGCATGCTTCCTGCTTGTTTAACTTTAGATGTTTCATGATATAAAAAATAGAATTAAATATAGAGGTATTTACACAATTTTTTTACCTCATTTGATCATTTTCTGTTTGTCACATCACTGTAAATATAGATCTATGTGTTATTTAAGGTTTTCCCCAGGTAGTTTTCCCCATTCAACAAGGAGGAAACCTGTTTTGCCAGACTCTATCAGTTAACTTTTATGCCCCTATTCCAGTGTGATTCATTTGATTTTAGCAGCAGAAATAACATGAACTTTTTAATTTCCTGTTGTAGAACTCTGAGCTGTTCACCCTGACCTACGGGGCCCTGGTCACCCAGCTCTGTAAAGACTACGAGAACGACGAGGAAGTCAATAAACAACTGGACAAGATGTAAGTACCAACACTAACTGTCTTTAAGTTGTGTTTGGATTCATGTAATTTGATAGCGAGAATGCAATTTAACATTGTTTCAATTCAGAGCATGAAATTGATGTGCATTAAAAAAAATACGCAGACAACACACTTCCATGGTTACCACATTTAATTTGACATTTCACAAAATGCTTACTGCTATTTTTGGCTTTCAGCAAGCAATACACCTTTTAGTAAAAAAGTGTACATCTCTGTCGTTATTGTGACTTCTGTTGGTAATGTGTTCCAGTGTTTTAAGCCTTTTTAATGGTAAATTAGAGTTAATGATATGTTTTGTTCACACCCAACATTAGTTAACAATGTAGATGCCTAGCAATTTAGCAACCACGATAACTTATGCAAACAAAGCATTATATTTTCTTATCCCAAATTGTTTTATTAAATGCATTTGTCCTTACTTTATTTAATATGTTGTTGTAGTTATTTGTGTATGCCAGTAAAAGTCAATTCAATAGGATTCACATTACAATACATATCACATACCAACTTCAAAATACTAAAGCTTACCAATACCAAAGACAGTGACACATACAGAACTAGTGTATGTTAACTATTTCAAGATATCACCTTTCCTCTTGAGTACATAAACAGAGTTAATTTATTTCAACATGTAAAGGTTTATCGTTTGCTTGTTGAACCAACAGAAGGGAAGGGATTTTTCTGGCCTCTTGGATTTCTCCCTTTAAGTTGCGCCTTAACACTGCTCTGACAAATTCTGCTGCCCTCTATTCATAACACACACACTCTCTCTCTCTCTCTCTCTCTCTCTCTCTCACACTTCCCTGTCAAAGGTTTCCCTCTGATCTTGTCATTTTGAAGTTCATATGTGTTTTTTATGAGAGAACTAAATATCTGGAAGGCATTGTTGCATACTGTCATCCCGCAAAATAAGATTAATGAAAATGGATGGGTTTTATAACTCAGGTATTCAAAACAGTCTGTCAAGCTGACAGGACTTTGGACTTGATGCACTTTTCTTTTTGGTTGTGCGTCTACCCTAAGCTCTCCCCAAGCTAAGACATGATGAGGATTGTCTTACCTGTCCTTAGAAGGCAGTGAGTCTGCACGGCCCACTCTGCCAACCGGTCAGATTCCGACCTTTTTAGGATCGGGATGCATCAGTTGTCTCTAGATTCTGTATTATGTTAAGTTGACTTGACCTTCTATTACCACAGTTATCATCATTTGCTAAGCCTATGACTCTAAAATATTTGGAGCATTTGGAAATGTCTAATATCTCTTTACTATAATCTCCTCAGTACTTTTCTTCTACTATGGAAAGGAAAAATGACTTCATCTGTTTCTTTTGCTAATCTCTCTCTGTCTTCATAGGGGTTATAACATCGGAGTGCGTCTGATCGAGGACTTCCTGGCGCGCTCAAGCATTGGCAGGTGTCAGGATTTCCGAGAAACCGCAGATGTCATCGCTAAGGTAATTAAAAAATGTTTTCAGGCCAATCTGATCGAGACTGTGGTCTTGACCCAAAGACAAAGGTAGAGAGGGAAGGAGGGAGGACAGATCCAAATAATTGATGAGGGAAAGAAGGAAAGGATGTTGCTAGAGGTTGGAGGAAACTAAAGGTTGTGAATAGGCAGAAAAACTTAAAGTCCCAGTGGGCTTCCTTCTAAACTTGAGGCCAAGATCCCATTCCTCTTTGCTTTGCTGATAGTGTGCTCGAAATGAACCGGATTCCAGAGCTAAGAGGCTGCTCCGCTGCAGTGTGAACAGGAAAACCCGGTGCTTTTCAAGCTCCAGCTCCAAACCGGCCCTGAAACACCGTTGGTGTGAATGAGGTATAAGAGTTAGACCTAACACACTTAGCTATCTTATCTACCTCTGGAACTAAACTAGTTATACATATATTTATTCTTCACTGTCGGGTCACTCATTACTGGATCAGTGAGCTGCATGAGACACTGATGGGCTGTCAGGAGGGGGAGAGAGGAAAAGAGTGCGCTTCCGCTCATCTCTCCCGTGTTATTATCCAAAGTGAATGTAAACCTGAATAATGTACTTCATTTGAATGTAATAATTATGTTGGTTGTTGTTTGTGGAAGCGCCAGTGAATTTTAAATGGAAGATCCCCATAGGCCCCGCCCACTCGATCGGATCGGCGATCGGTATCGGCCGATACTGATTCCGGCGATCGGCCCCAAAATTGGCGATCGGAGCATCCCTAGTTATATGTTGTACTTTAATATTTCTGTCTGTATTAATCCTGGCCTGTGGATTTGTAACATATCCATGTCTGGCTGTGCAAAAGTGAGACTCCCTTTATGACTGATGAACACAAAGATGCAGGCAGACCATGAAGCAGGCCCCTCTCATGACTCTCCAGCTGCTTTTAAGGTGTAACTGCTGCCTTTTTAGGGGAGTTATTCCACAGATGTAACTCCACACTAGCTCAGGGATCTGGCTCTTGGTCATGGAGAGAAAGGTCATGCCTGTAAATGGAGGACCACTGAGGGACAGCGGTTTGGAACATGCAGCGATAGCCCTGCCCGAGGATATCTTATGAGCTCGAGCCAAACTCTGAAACCACCTCAGACTTTTGTGTGAAATGTATCTGGAGGTCTGTTCAAAAAAATGTTCATTCCATTTCATGAATGGTTTCTTCGGAAGGCAACACTTCACTATCACAGCTCTTAAGTTGTGTTTCCACTTCTTTAGCTTCAGTGTGTCTAAAGAAACTGTTGTCTGCACTGCGGATTCAGACCATTTAAGATAAAAAAACATCCGCCCTGTGTCAGTGAATATTTTAGCGCGAGCAAACTTTGTGCTTGCGTGAGGAAGTATGCCGACACATCACAGGGAAAGAGTGCTGCAGAGGAAAAGAAGCAACAGAGACCAAGTTATCAGATATCAGGTGTGTGTGTGTACGAAAAAGACGAGGCATTTGAGTTAATTTAATGTGCAATCCAACATTATTGCTTTCAGTTGAGTAATCCTGGATATTCTCTCTTTCTTTCATCCACTTGTGAACGTGTTGTGGTTGTTTTCAGGTTGCATTTAAGATGTATCTGGGAACCACCCCCAGTGTGTCCAACTGGAGCCCGGCAGGAGATGAATTCTCTCTCATCCTGGAGAACAACCCGCTGG